TCCACGGTGCAGAGGCCCATCGGGGACGCGCACAGCTCCCAGCTGCCCGCCCCCGTGTCCCTCCATGTCGTCTGCACACTGTGTGTCCAGGTTCTCCATCTGCATCGCGCGGACCGGGTCTCCGCTGTTTCCAGAACCGGGTGCAAGCCCTGCGCTCTGTCCGCTGGTGCTGTCCGAGCTCGCACCCCTCCTTCGGGGACACTGTCTGCCCCTTGAAGACACGGGGAGCCCAGGCCACGGGGAGCGCACTCCTCACTGCCAGGAGGGCTCTGGGGGCGAGCAGGGCAATCCCCGCGGTTCTGAGTGAGTGACGTCGGCTCAGTCCGGGCCTGGCTGCGAGCCGGCCCCAGGTCGGTGCTGGTGACACGGTGCTATGGCTGAGCGCTGCCTGTCACTGTGCACTTCCGGCAGTGAAGCTCAAGTGGTTCTGTGGGGGATGGTGGCCGCCGCAGTGCCTGCCACCTGCAGCCCACGTGGAGGTCTCTGGGCCCAGGAGGGGCTCCGTGAGGGTGGAGACGAGGGCCATCATGCCGTGCCAGCCACCCCCCGCTCGGCCTTTCCAGTCACCTTCATGACTGTGGGTTGAGTCACTCGATGGCTGAAATGACTCTGGGGACATTCTGACATGTGAGCACGGCCCCCTGAGGTACTGCCACGTGGCCGCCTCTGCCCCCCCACGCTCCCGTGCCTCCAGGTGTGGGGACCCACAGTCCAACAGAGAGAGGGCAAAACGTGCTGGCATCAGGCTCCCGCCAACCTCCCTTCTGAACCCAAGGCGGCTCTGGAAGGGGCTCAGAATGAGGGAAATTGGTACAGATGCGCCCTGTTACTCTGCCATTGGCCTGTGGGCACCGGGGTCACTGCGTAGCTCGCTCCGAGATCTCCCCCCTGGGGGTGCCGAGTGCCCCTCTTGCTGGGAGGCACCTTCGTGACAGACAGCAGGTGGGGGCTCAAGCCCAGGGCTTCGGCGCCACACCGAGTTTGCGAGGTATCAAGCTGACCGTGGGATCGGGCGCTGCTCAGCCCCCCGCTGAGCTCCATCCCTGGCACTCATCACGACTGGCTTTCACCTACAGACTGTCACGCAGGGGATTAGCCAGGTCCCTTCCTAGGCACGCCTTGCCTTGCCAAGGTGGCCTCACCTCCAGCCGGGCACCTTCGGAGGCGAGCAAGATCAGGACAAGGCCCCCCCGGCAGCGGACACGGGAGTGTGACTGCACAGGCTCCTCCGAGAGGCGGCTCGTGTGCAACAGCCGCCGTGAACACAGTACCCGTCCTCTCCTCCACCTGCTCCCGCGCCGTCTCTGCTCTCTCCCCTCTTCCCCAGAGAAACGCTGAGCTCTGTTTGCGGGACACTCGTGCGGTGCACGTTCACGACACAGCCAAGCTGGGCTCCTGCCCTCCCTGCGGGGACACACTACCCGGAGCCCAGGCCAGGAGCGCGGCCCATCCTGCCCTCTGACCCCACCTGGTACTTTGCTCCAGCTGCACTGGCCGTTGATTGATTCCCAGCTCAATCCTACCCCAGGGCCTTTGCACAAGATGTTCTCTCTGCTTCACACAGCCTGCTCTCCTGAGGTCGCCACACAAGCACACAACCCACTACACCCCCGGCACGCCACCTGGGGTCTCCATCCCTGTGGCAATCACCCCAGCCTGAGACTCGGCGCGGTTTCAAACACGTGCATCTGTTTGGCTCCATGTGGGCGGGGAGCCCATCTGTTGTGCACCCCCGGGGCTTGCAGCGGGGTCCGGCAGGGCCCCGTTCGAGGCCCTGGCTCACCCTGCCGTGGTTGCCGGGGGTGAGGGACGCCCGCCTGTGCGCCTTGAGTGTCCCCTGGCAGCAGCCCAGCTCCCTGCTGTGCTGCGTCCCGGCCGCACACTGAGCCTCCCCCCGGGTCCTCTGGATGCCCCCCGTCCCTCGAGGGGAACCCGCACGGCCCTACGCACGCCTGCAGTCACTGAATCAGAATGGCCAGTGGCGTGACCTCTCCCGCGGGCCTGGGCATGTGCACCCCTGCAGGCAGGGCCTCTCCTCGGGGCCGCCGATCGCTCCCGACCCTGGACCTGCAGCAGGCGCGGCCCGCTCTTCCCGGCCCCGCACGCCCGGCCTGCAGCAGCACGTGCGCGGTCGCCCCCGCGCCACCGGAGGACAGTGGTGGGGAGCACGGCTGCTGGCTCCTCAAAGGCAGGCGTGTGTCAGTCTTGCCAGCGCTTCCCAGAGGCATCTGGGGCCTGGGCTGGACCGGAGCACTTCCTCCGGGGCCACTGTAAACACGGCGGCCGCAGTAAACTCTCCCGTTGGCCCCTCTGGCAGCCGAAAGGTCCCCTGGAAATACGAGGAACTGGAGGGCCGGCATGCGGGACAGCACCCCGGACGAGGCCCCCCGCCGCACCCCGGCCTCCGAAGGCCGCAGCGGCTGGTCCAGGGGCTCCCGGCGGCACCTGCCGGGCCCTCACTATCCGCTTTATCCGCAGGCGCTGGGCTGACCCAGGCTGACCTGTGCCCACTCTGTGCTCGTCCGCGTGTCCCTGGGCAGTGAGGGGACGACCCTCGGGGCCCATGTCCTCTTCTGAGACCTGGGGTCTCCTGGCGAGGTTGGGAAGAGAGTCTGGGCCCCCAGCAGCCAGCCCCCCACCCCAGTTCATCCTCACAAACGAAGGGGAGAGAAACTACAGTCTCAGCCAGGGCCACCCCCACAGTGCTGCTCCCACACTTCTCTTGGCGCCGTGCTCAGAGGCGTCTCCCCAGAGAGCAGAGCCCCCGTGGCGGCCAGGTCTGTGAGCCGCATCCCACGCCCCCTGGTCCCCTGGGACCTGCCCCTTGGAGAGCAAGCCTGGGCCTGGGCCTCTGCCGCCCCTACAGACACGCTCCCTGAGGACACTTGGTGGCCACCTCACCCAGGCCACTCCTGGGCCTGGAGCCCGGAGCCCGGCCGACAGGTGCTGGGACAGACGCGGGCAGGCAGGCGCCCCATCCCTCCTACCCGGGCACGGCCGCCCGCTCCGAGAGGCCCCAGGCCCGTGTGGCCCCGTGTGGCAGCGACGGGCCCAGTTGGTGCGGCTGGGTGAGGGAGAGCTCTGGGCTACTTTGTGGCTTTTTGTGTGTCTTAATGTGCTTGAAAACAAGCTATCAGAATATCAGAGCGGGGCAGGGTGACGCAGAGCCCCAAATGCCCCAGTGCCCGCAGGCCTGGCGGTCTCCCCGGTGACCTCCTCGGAAACGAGGGGTACTTCCAGTTCCCTCCGTGGACACCTGCCTGTGTCCCGTGCTGTCTGGTCCAGGCACCGGTGGTCGGGGCCGGGGGCAAGCGTGGCTGAACGGGGGAGGCTGGCGGGGGGCTCACGAGCAGGCGCTGGGCCACCAGGCAGGCTGGATGCGGCTCTGACCGCCCTGGACACAATGGGCCTGGACAGCACTGGGCCCTGCCCCTCTGACCTGGGGGACCGCCCGGCGTGTGCAGCTGTGCGAGGCCCCTCCGTCCGGACCCTTCCGATCTCGTCTCCCCGGCCGGCAGAGAGGCTCCGGTGTCTGCCAAACACACCTGCCACCACCTGCCTTCTAGATACGAAAACATGGGGACAGTGATTCAAAAGCTAGACACAAAACCTCTTCACTAACGAGTTTGGGGACAGGAGTTAACCCAGTGAGCCTGGGTCCCGAAACTTGTGAGCCGAACAGAGGACCTGTTCCAACACTGCAGCTCTGGGCAGGAGCGGGCGCCTGCCCCTGTCCCCGCGGGCTCTTGTCCCCGTGGGCGCCTGTCTCCACCGGCATGGGGGCCGCCAGAGCACAAACCCTTCCGTCGCAGGGGGGCCTGCCATCTCAAGCCCGGACCCCAGGTCCCCAGGTCGTGCTCTGCCAGGGACGCCATCTACACGAGAAGGATGCACACCTGCCTGTGGCTCCGCCGGGAGACAGTGACACCGCACCTGGGAGGCAAGGTGGCTGGGTTCCGGGCGGGGGTGGCGTCTCCCGAGGAGGGAGGGGCCCATGTTCCGCAGGGGACCTGCTGAGCAGCACGGTCACTTCAGAAGTGCCAACAGCTGGTTGCGTGAGTCAGGCTCACAAGCAAGTGGAACGTCACCAGCAGCTGGGAGGGTCGAAGCCAAGAAACCCGTTGTGGCAAAACTGCCGAAGGAAGGGAGTGTGTGTGTACAGTGCAGAGGGCACCACACCGACCCCTGACAGTACGTACAGCTTCAGGGGGTGCACGGGGAGCCCAGGGGGCATGACAGCGGCTGGGGTGTCGGGGGTCTCTTGCTCCGCACCCACCACCGCGTGCTACGATCACATGCATGTGTTTCCTTTACAATAAACATGAAAGCACAGGCGTGTTCACCCGTTACTTGTCGCGCTTCTGTGTCTGTCAGTGTCTCACAGGACAGTGAGGTGGGGACAGTCCAGTGCTTCCTCTGAACTTTCGTTTATGTTTTGTAATCCACCTGTAAATACCCACTTCCTGATTCTAAAGAATGGATTCCTCCCAACGGAGACCAAGGAGCCCTCTCGGGGCTCAGCCGTGGCCTTGGCCTGGGGCAGCGCCCACCCACCTCCGCTGGCCCACGTCCCCACCCCCAGCCGGGGGCTGCCCGGTGTCTGGCTCTTCCCACTGAAAAGCACCAGCAGCAGCAAAGGTTAGTTGTTATTTAGGGAGGGAGACCTCGTGCCGTCCTGAGAAGCGAGGGGGTGAGCCCTCGGCCTCGGGGGGCCGCCGCCCGCTAGGAGCCGCCCCTCCACGGAAACAGCGCTGCCGCCCACGGGCCGGCTCCAGCCAAGCCGCCAAAGCGCCGTGTTAAACATGAAACACCAACTGCTCTTTTATTCACACCAGATGCTCCTTCGAAAGGGCCGTGTCCAAGGTTATTTTTAACAAGAGCACTTTCTTACCCGAGACCCGCACACAGAGACAGCCCCACGCCCTCAGCGGCGAGTCTGGGGGCCCCGCCCGGGACCTGGCTCAGACCACACAGAAGATGAGGGTGTCACACGAGAGCCCTTTATTTCCTGGTTTTCTGTCACTTGTTCCAGAGGGTTTGGTCTTAAAGATCTAGTGTGATTAAAACCGTCGGCTGTGCGGTGAAGCGCCACGCGCGCTCGCTGCGTCCTGGGCCCTGCCCTCCAAGGGCCGCGCATCTGAGCACAGCTGTGTAGTTAGTTGTGTGGGCGTGAGTGAGCGAGCAGCATTAGTTTTGCACAGAGTGAAACACACCGATTGTCCGAGAGACTGTTTGTGCCGCTGTGCATGGAGGCTCGCAGGGGGCGGACCCCGGCGAGGCCCTGGGTCTGGGTTCGGGAAGGACAAACGTTCTCGAAGGACAAACGGGATTTCATACGGCAGTTAGGGCTCTGAAGGAAACAGGTAACGTGCGATTATGGCCAATCAGGCGTGGGGCAGGCTCAGGAGGGCGGTGATCGGCATGTGGACCCCGCGCCCAGGGCGGGACGCGGCTGCCCGCGCAGGGACGTGGTGGGAAGCTTTACTTCTCCTGAGTGGACAGGCGGTAGAGCGCTTCGCCCAGGCGTGCCAGCTCCTCCTGGTGCTCCAGGCCCTGGAACAGGTCCGTGGGAACCGCGTCCAGGCCGTGCAGCAGCCCGAACAGGCAGCCCGCGATAGTCCCCGTGGCCCCGCTCTCGCCTGGAACGGAAACACAGGTCCTCAGGGGCCCCGGGGCCTCGTGCTGCCGGTGCCTGAGGGCCCCCTTACCACGGGCCCGTCTCAGAGACCTCTCTGGGCAGCTCCCTCTCTCCTCCCACAGCTGGACACGCGCGGGCGCGTGTGGATGCCCTGCTGTCCCGGGCCTGGGCGCTCAGGGGTCCCCTGTCTGTGGGGCGGTGCTGGCGTCTCTACCACCCCAGCATCAGGGACTGGGGGGCTCCGATGGGCACGGAGACCCCTGCCCAGCACAGGGGGGTGTCTGTCTGGAGTCCTTTCATTTCACATTCGCGGGAGAGAGTGGGCACCAGGAAGGAGCAAGCCCGCCCAGCGCTGGGACAGTCCCGGCTGCCACCAAGGCCTTGAACCCGGAGCACCGATTCAAAGTGGGGCAAAGATCTCTTTGGCTACAGTGTTGGCGGGCTGTGCGTGGCCCAGACCAGCAGGGCCCCGTGCCCTCAAAGGAGAGGGCCCCGCAGCCTGGCCCCCCAGATGCCATTTTCTCTTGAGCTCCGGCTTGCACAGCCATGCACCCAGAGAAAGACACACATCCTGGGGAATTAGGAGGCGGCCGCTCGAGGCCCCCAGCCCCGGACATCCTGGGTGGGTGCTTTGGGGTGGGGTGGGGTGCTGGTTGCAGGTTAAAGAAGGCGATCTCACCTCCGTGGCACATGGCCCTCTGGCAGAGCTCCGTCCAGCTGTCCCCAGCACCTAAGAGAGCGTCGTAGGCAATCATGGGAGCGTCGTGGCCCCGTCGGCCCCCTCGGCCTTCAGAGCTCCATTTCCGGTAAGCCTGGAAGAAAGAGCCGAGTTGGAGCGTGCGGCCACAGGAAAAACAATGTTGGTTGGCACTGGAGCCCACGCCCCGAGTTTATCCAGGGCACCGACTTTCACCTGTGTGCCGGGCACTGCCTCGGGGCTGGGGGTGACAGGGCGCAGGAAAGACCCACTTCTCAGGGCTCCTGCGGATGCAAACTCCACAGATAAGCAAACCTGAGCACGTGTTAGGGTCGCCAGAAAGTCTGTGACAAGAGTCTGCGCCCAGCAGGTGGAGGGCCGGCGCTGAGGCTGTTAGGACACATGCCACCCTGGCCCGAACAGGTCATGGTGTGAGTGGGCGCCAAGGCCCTGTGGCCAGGGCTGGCTGGCCGTGCAGAACAACGCCCTGCAGATGCATCCCGGGCAGAAAGCGTGGGGAGGGGCCTGTGAGGGGGACACTGGCAGGTCATGCCCCTGTGCCCTAGCAGCAGATTCGGTGTTGGTTTGGGGACAGCAGCATCTCCATGTGAAGGATGGCACGCCTGGGCCTTCCTGCACCCAGGGGAGGTCGGGGAGGTGCATGGGGGTACACGGAGGGGCTGTGGGAAGCACCTGAGGAAGAAGGGTGGACCTCCCTTGGGAGACTGTGAGAGACTGTGAGAGACTGTGGGAGACTGTGGGAGACTGTGGGAGACTGTGGAGACTGTGAGAGACTGTGGGAGACTGTGAGAGACTGTGAGAGACTGTGGGAGACTGGGAGAGACTGTGGGAGACTGAGAGACTGTGAGAGACTGTGGGAGACTGTGGGAGACTGGGAGAGACTGTGGGGGGATTGTGGGAGAGACTGTGGGGGGATTGTGGGAGACTGTGAGAGACTATGAGACTGTGGGAGACAATAGAGACTCTGGGAGAGACTATGGGAGAGACTGAGGAAGTCTATGAAAGAGGCTGTGTGAGAGACTGTGGGAGACACTGTGAGAGACTGTGGGAGAGACTGCGGGAGACTGTGGGAGACTATGAGAGACTGTGGGAGAGACTGTGGGAGACTGTGGGAGACAGTGGGAGAGACTGCGGGAGCCTGTGAGAGACTGTAGACGTGCTGGCCGGAGCCAGAGCAGCCAGCGTGGGCTACGAGCTGTGCATGCAGAATGCAGAGCGGCCACACAGAAGTGTCCTCAGCTCCTCACTGCAAGCGACTTGCAGCTCAGCTCTGGGCTCCGAGGACATAAGGAAATCAGTCTCTGTCACGGCTAAGCCACAGCGACTCAGGGTTTTCTCTTGTGCTACCAAACCCGATGGCGACAACGTCAGCCAGTTCTCAGCCTGATGAGTGATGCTGGTGTGCACAGCCTTACTCATCGGGTACAACTTTATGCCCCGGCCCCTAGGGAGTAACGAAGGGGAAGAGAGTATCTTCAACAATCACATTTTCTAGCAATACTGTGCTTATAATGAGAGGAAATGAAAATGAAGTGCTCTCTGTTTCACACTTGCTTCCTCCAGGAAGTCCCCCAACCCCCCACCTGCTGCTTCTCCAGGCCCCTCGCTGCTGCCGGGGGGTGGGAGGGGCGGGCCCAGGTGGGGTTCCGGGCAGCCCAGGTGCGGGGGCTTCTCGGCGGGGCCCGGGCAGTGGGACCCTGCCGGCTGCTGTCCTCACTGCGTGGACACGGCAACTCACCTTTTCTCTTTCCTCCGCGTTGTAGCGGTCGGGGAAGGCGGCTTTACTTCCCGTGTCTTCGCTGATTTTTCTCTCCTCCAAGTAAAACTGCCACTTAGCTTCAAAGTAAAACCAGTGCTCCTGGTATTCTAAACATAAAGAACGGGGTGCGCTGCAGGCGAGGGCCACCCGCCGGGGCGTGGGGACAGTGGGGACAGCCCTGCAGGAGCAGGAGGCGGGGGTGACAGCGGTGTGTCTGCTGTCGGCTCGCGTGTGATGGGAAGGGGGCCAGGCTCACCCGCCAGGTGCCGGATGGTCTTCTTACAGTACCCCTCCGCCCGCGGCACCGTCTGCATCATGTCTCTGCCCCACTGCTCCAGCGGCTTTCCTTGCGCGGCGTAAGACGCAAACAGGGCTGTGCACAGGGACCCGAGGAAGCCTGGAGGGCACAAAGATGGCGTGTGGGCGCCCGAGGCACCGTCGGCAGGTGCGGGGGGGTCCTGGGCTGGTGCTTCTCGGGCTCTGACTTTTGTTCCTTGCACACAGGTGTGTCACACCCACCAGCAAGGGCTTGTCGTTGGGACAGATGGTTCTTTTTTTTTAATTTATTTTAAAGCAGGCTTCACGCCCAGCGCAGAGCCCAACACGGGGCTTGAACTCACGACCCTGGAATCATGACCTGAGCTGAGATCAAGAGCTGGACACTCAACCGACTGAGCCCCCCAGGCGCGCGGGGACAAACGGTTCTAAGCACAGAGGAGTGCCCGCCAGGCCAGCCCGAGGTGCACAGCCGCGCAAGGACCACACCCACCCAGGAAAGGGCATGGCCACCTCAAGAGACACTCTCAGTGGCTTCTGGCCACCATAAGGCATCACTACAGGTGCAGTGAGTGTCCAGTTCTCAAACCCAGGGTCCTGGATGAGGGGGAGGGTGCACAGCCTATGGGAGTAAGAGGTTCAAGTGATTCTTCTTTTGTAAAATTAGAAGCTGATTGCCCTTCTAAGTCATGACTCCGGGTCAGGCACGGGGGGGGGGGGGGGGTGAGGGCCGCCTGCCCTCCCTGTGTGAGGGACATGCGGATACTCTCCTCACGCATGGCCATCCTGGGGGGGAAACAGAAGCACGGCGGTAGGTGTTCCAGCTCCCACAGCCAGCGAGCGGTGGGTCTGGTTCGGGCCCCGCCGGGCACAGCACCGGGCAACAGGCAGTGCCCGTGGGCTGGAAGCGCGGGTTCCCGCGGCTTCACTCGGAGAGCTGGTGCCCTGCTTTTGCTCTGACACACGTGGTGCCGAAACCGGGGAGGGTGCTTTCCACGCCCATCCCCAGCCCTGCTGTTAGCATGAAAACAGATCTAAGCAGAACCGAAGACTGACAAGCCCGAGCCGCCAACACGTAAGCAAATGGAGCAGCGGGTAGGATTTCGGCGACCCGCCGGCAGGAGCTGGGTGCGCGGCGGCTGGCGCGGCTCACCTGTGGGGTGGTTGTGCGTCATCCTGCCGCACTCGATGCTCACTTCCACGAGGGTCTCCAGGCGCTCCGGCTTCCAGTACCGCATGCCCACGCACATGGCTTTGGTGGCAGCTCCAAAGCCTGAGCCTGCAGGGGGTGGAGAACAGCGGGTTTCAGGCTGTGGGGGGAACCACCCCGCCTGTGGCGATGACGTTCACCAGCATCCTGAAAATGTATACGGAGTCGTGTAGTCACACATTTACCGCCGTGTCATTTTAATGAAAAATAGACAACCCAGGTGTCCAACAGAGAAAATAGATGAAACAAATCGCGAAGCACCAGCGTTGGACAGTGGTTTAGGCACTAAAACAGAGCTGCTGATGGCTGTGCTCCTGCTGGGAAAGCAGACGCTGTGTCTCTAAACACACATGCTCTCCTTTTAGCAAGAGTTCCATGGAGTTATAGGGACATGAGATCAACTGCACGTACTTCAGGTGCACGAGGTGATGAGTGTGGACACGTGGTGCGCGCGTGAAGCCAGACCCCGAGCAGAGCTGCTGAGTGTACCCACCAGTCACCCTGGACGCCTTCTTGTGCCTCCCATCCCTCCACCAGCCACGGGCCTGACTCAGCGGGCCAGGCCACATTTCTAGGTTTTACCTAAGTGGAATCATGCAGAATACAGTGGTTGTTTCCTGGCCACCTTCACTCGGGGTGGCGATGCTCCTCCATGCATCGCATGTTGTGCAGCAGGAAGAGCCTGATGTGTGGAGAGGCCACTGCCAGTCTGTCCACTTGCCCGCCACGGCACCCTTGGGTTCCTTCCTGCAAGGGATGTCACAGAGGACACCGTGGACACTCCTGACCAAGTCGTTGTTTGGACATACGCTTCCTGGGGCAGACACATCAGGAACATTTAGCTCACGTTCAAGGAGCTGCCAAACTGCCAGCCATGTCCCACTGGGGGCCCCTCTGTGTCCCGGGTGGCACTTCACGGTCCACCTTCCAAATTCGGCCCGTGCAGCACCTTCTCTTTGGGGCTTCATTTTCCCGGTGACGGATGGTGTTGAGCCTGTGGCCACCAGGTAACTTCCTCGGGGGACCGTTCGTTTAAATAGGCCTCTCATGTTTGTACTGGGTTGTTAGCTTTCTTTTAAGAGCTCTTTAAACATTTGGGGTACTTCTCAGGTGTGTGCTCAGCAAATACCGTCTAGGGATCTGTATTTCAGCCTTGGATTCTTGTAAGGGCCTCCTGGAGAGCGGAGTGGGTTTGGGGTGTGACTGTCCTCTTAGCTCCCTGGAGAACCGTGTCCACTCGGTACTGTCTCTTCTTCAAATGGGCGGTGGCTCCCCAGGGAGGCGTCCTGCTGTTCAGATGATCTTTTTCCTCTGGAGTGACCTTTGGTAATTTGGGTCCTACAAGTAACTTATCCATTTCATCTAAGTTGTGAAGTTTATTGGAACAAAGTTTTTCACAGTATTCCCTTATTTCCTGTAGAATCTGTAGCAGCCGCCTGTCCGCTGCTGCTGCTTCTATTTTCCACTCTTCCTCTCTTGTCCTAATCAATCTCACTTCAGGTTTATCGGTTTCTCTATCTTCTTAAAGAATCAGCTCTTGGTTTTGTTGATTTTCTCTACTGTTTTTCTGTTTTCTGTGACATTGATTTCCACTCTGCCCTTCATTACTTCCTTATTTTCATTTTCCTTGGGTTTAATTTGCCCTTTGTTTTCTAGTTTCTTAATGTGAATATTGAGACCTTAATGTGGAAATCTCTGCCCATGACTCTGGGGTTTTCTGTTTCTCTTGCTGTTCTATTGGTTTTAGCTTTACATATTGTGAAGGTTTGTTGTCGGTGCAGGAGTGTTTGGGTTTGCTACGTCTTCCTGAGAAATGGATGCATTTGTCTTGATGAAGTTGACTTCTTTTCCCCTGGCAACATTCTTTGCTCCAAAATTTATTTTTTGTGATATTAATGGGGCCACGTCGGCTTTCTTCTGACTGGCATTAGCATGGTGTACCTCTCCTTTCCCTAACCTACCTGTGGCTTCATCTGTAAAGTGCATGTCCTGTGAACAGCCTAGAGTTGGGACTTGCTTCTTTATGCCATCTGAGTCCCTGCCATCTTCTTGGAGTCTTTAGAACATTTATACATTTGATGTGATTATTGATGTCATCAGGGTCAAGTCTGTTGTCCTGTTATTTGTTTCCTTTTCTGCCTATTTTGGGTTCAATGTTATTGGCCAGTGAGGTCAGCTGCCCATCCCGGGTGAAGATTCCCACCATGTGGAGGACGGCGCCCACCACCACAAGGAGGAGCACTTGGACATTGGCCGGTGTGTCTGCTCCTGTCTGGAGTTGCCTAGGTGGACATAACACATGGACGTGACCCGGGGTAGCATTTCCTCCCAGGAAACAAAGCCTTTCAGGGAGATCCGCATTGGAAGCTTGCCCAGATCTCCCATGGCAGTGGCCCCTCCTGCAGCCGAGGTGGGGCAGGGGCTGCACACACACCCTTGTACTGCAGGGGAGACCCCGTTCTCTCCCTGCAGGGCAGATGCCCCCGTGGGGTTGGTTAGGATTCTGCGGTGCTCCTGCTTAAGCAGCACAGGGAGGGTCCCTGGATACCTAGAATATGGGATTGTTTCTCCTGATGAGGGGGAAGAATCCAAGGCTGAGGGACAGCCTCGCACCTGGTCCCCCCTCCCCCCCCCCGTCCCCCTTCCAAGGGATGATCTGGCCTGGGGCACTGCTTCCCTAGCAAATATTTCTAAACGATTCCACTTTCTCTTTTGTTGGCTTATTAGTTATAACTGTTTTGTTGTGTTAGTCGTTGCTTCATGGCTTTGAGTGTCCGCCTGTAACTTACACTTGCCACAGCCCGCCTCACGCCTCCACCCTCCCCAACCAGTATAGCGTCAGATACCTGCTCATAGCATTTTATAAACCCACAGTAGCTCATCATTTTTAAAGTCAATTGTCTGTCAAAGAGATTGCAATAGGAAGTTAAAACTTCTCCTGTATTTATCCACATAGTTAGGATCTCCATCCAAGTTCTTGTGCGCAGACGATGGTTTCTTGCTGCCTCAGGGACTGACTTCCATTACCCCTTTGCAGTGTGCTTCTGCTGGTGACAAATCCCTTAGCTTCTGTTTGCCCGCAAAGGCGATTTGGCCATGGTTTCTGTAAGAAACTTTTTTGGAGGCAGCACTCCAGGATGATGTAGTTTTTCTTCTGCGCTCGCGAGCTCTCCATGTGCTGCTTCTGACAAGAGATCTGCACCCTCCTCACCTCGGCAGTCAGCACGGGAACATGTGTTTCTCTCCGGATTATTAGTTTTGAGCAATTTGACTGCTGGCTGCCATACTGTAGTTTTCTCTGTGTATTTTGTGCTTGGAAGTTACTGAATTTCTTCGATCTGTGAGTTTACAGTTTCATGAAATTTGGAGAGATTTGGGCCAGTATTTCTTCAAATCTTTTCTTTGTTCCCCTTCACACTGTCAGGGAGCCTGTTGCAGGCATGTCAGGATGCTGTGGTCATCTATAGCTCACTAGTGCTCTTTTCATAATTTTGGATTCTTTTTTCTATATGTATCCCATTCTGGATTGTTTCGATTGCTGTGCCTTTAAACCCACTAAATTTTTCTTCTGAAATGTCCAATGTGCTGTTAATCTCAGCCAATGCATTTAGAAACTCAGGGATCCATCCTCAGTATAAATTCATGTGTGTGGGGTCCATCCTCAGTATAAACTCAGGTGTGGGGGGTCCATCCTCAGTATAATCTCAGGTTGGGGGGGTCCATCCTCAGTATAAACCTGGGTGGGGGGTCCATCCTCAGCATAAACCCAGGGTGGTCCCTCCTCAGTATAAACCCCTGTGAGAGGGGTTCATCCTAAGCATAAACCCAAATAGGGGGTCCAGGACCCCAGGAGCAGTGCGCTGGAGGCAGAGACTCTGGCTAAGTAAATATATCAATACATCAAAGCACCCCAGAGACAACAGACATGCTGGTTGTATAAGTTTTCCTGATTATTTGGCAAAAAATAGAAACTTAAAGGGAAAGCAGTTGAAAATATCCCTTAAAACGAACCCAGGACTGGTGCCGCACCACCAGGGAAGTCAGCGTCCTCTAAGTGGAAGCCCCGGCAAGTCCCTCTGTGTCACGCAGACCTGCAGGTTAGTGGGGTGACACGTGGGTTAGTGTCCAGGCCATACTCCAGCATGCGCTTTATAGGGAAAAGAGAGCACCCTCTGACCCTTCTCGTTGAAAGGCGTGTGCCAGGCCAGGAGGTAGTTATCCGGCTTCAGCTGTGAGCAGCCTTCCAGGGTAGCTGGGTCTGCCCAATGTTCCGGAGGCTTCTCAAGAACTTCCACGTAGCGCCTCACCATCTCCCGGTACAGGTCATCCAGGCACCAGTAGTCTGGAGAAGAAAGTGCAGGGTGAGGGTGAGAAGGAAGGATAGCCACGTGGTAAGCCCCCAACCCAGCGGGGACAACAGAGGTGCAGGCGGCTCACACTTCCCCACAGTCCCCACGGTCCCCAAGGTCCCCACAGTCCCCAGTCTCCAGAGTCTCCCACAATCCCCAGAGTCTCACAGGATTTCCGACAATCCCCCCCAATCTCACAGTCTCCCACAGTCCCTCGGTCTCTCCCAGAGTCTCCTTCAGGGTCCCACATCTCTCACAGTCTCACACAGTCTCCCAAGTCTCCCACAGTCTCTCACAGTCTCCCACAGTCTCCCACAGTCTCCCACAGTCTCCCACAGTCTCTCACAGTCTCCCACAGTCTCCCACAGTCTCCCACCATCTCTCACAGTCTCCCACAATCTCCCACAGTCTCCCACAGTCTCCCACAGTCTCTCACAGTCTCTCACCGTCTCCCATAGTGTCCCATGGTCTTTCACAGTCTCCACAGTCTCTCACAGTCTGTCACAGTCTCCCATGGTCTCCCACAGTCTCCCACAGTCTCTCACAGTCTCCCACAGTCCCCCGCAGTCTCTCACAGTTTCCCACAGTCTCCCAGTTTCTCACAGTCTCCCAACGACTCTTAAAGTCTCCCACAGTCTCCCATAGTCTCTCACAGTCTCCCACAGTGTCTCACGGTCTTTCACAGTCTCCACAGTCTCTCACAGTCTCCCACAGTCTCTCCCAGTCTCCCACAGTCTCCCACAGTCTCTCACAGTCTCCCACGGTCTCCCACAGTCTTCCACGGTCTCCCACAGTCTCTCACGGTCTCCCACAGTCTCTCACGGTCTCCCACGGTCTCCCACAGTCTCCCACAGTCTCTTCCAGTCTACCAAGTCTCCCACAGTCTCCCACACTCTTTCCATTCTCCCACAGTCTCCCACAGGCTCCCAATGTCTCTCACCGTCTCCGACAATCTCCCACAGTCTCTCACAGTCTCCCACAGTGTCCCACGGTCTTTCACAGTCTCCACAGTTTCTCACAGTCTCCTACAGTCTCTCACAGTCTCCCACAGTCTCCCACAGTCTCCCACAGTCTCTCACAGACTCCCTAAAGTCCCACAGTCTCCCACGGTCTCCCACAGTCTCCCACAGTCTCCTACAGTCTCTCACGGTTTCCCACAGTCTCCCAGTTTCTCTCCCAATGTCTCTTAAAGTCTCCCCCAGTCTTCCACAGTCTCTCACAGTCTCCCACAGTCTCCCACAGTCTCCCACAGACTCTCAGAGTTTCTCACAGTCTCCCAAAGTCTCCCAACGTCTCTCACAGTCTCCCACAATCTCCCACAGTCTCCCACAGTCTCTCACAGTCTCTCACAGTCTCCCACAGTCTCCCACACTCTCTCCCATTCCCCCACACTCTCTCCAGTCTCCCAGTCTCCCACACTCTCCCACAGTCTCTCACAGTCTCCCAAAGTCACCCACAGTCTCTCACAGTTTCCCACAGTCTCCCAGTTTCTCACAGTCTCCCAATGTCTCTTAAAGTCTCCCACAGTCTTCCACAGTCTCCCACAGTCTCCCACGTTGTCTCACAGTCTCCCACAGTCTCCCACAGTCTCTCTCAGTCTCCCACAGTCTCTCCCAGTCTCCCACAGTCTCCCACAGTCTCCCACAGTCTCCCACAGTCTCTCCCAGTCTCCCACAGTCTCCGACAGTCTTTCACAGTCTCTCACAGTCTCCCACAGTGTACCACAGTCTTTC